TATTGTCTGTCAATAAAGACCCAAACACAAGACAGGATGTCCTGGAGAAACACTATGATTAGCCTACTTTATTATTACCAGGAGTCAGAATCAGCTTGACAGCACTCAATACAATTGTTTGTCAGACACATATACAATTGTATAATTGTCTGTCAGACACATAATTTGATTGATCATCTATTAAATGCACACATTCATTCATTTATTTATGCATTCATTCTCTCCCTCGTTCGTCCTCAGTGCCCTCATCCTTTGTTAATAATTTATGATGGGTAGGATCTACAGTAATCCTCTGGTTTAAGCTTGAGAAGACAGCATTGTGGATGGAAGTGAATGCAGAATGAATCATGGAGCATGAGTATCACCACAATGGTTCATGAATTACTGTGGAAAATGTTACAAAATCTGCACTCATATTGGATTTATGAGGCTGAATCGTGATGTAGGCCTTTTGTTCCACAAGTACAGCAGCAGAACTTCATTCGCTGCGTTACAGAGACTTTTGGTTATGTAACAGTCTTTGGCACATGTATATACATCAAACTAAAGCACATTTGGACTACTTTGTAATTCAGATTTGAAACTCAGTCATGACTTGAACTCATCCAGTTATCCCACATGGCTACTTTTGTGCAGGAAAGTGTGAGGGTTCTGATTAAAATGGCAGCTGTTTCCATCCGAAGATGAACTTGTTGTGGCGTCTGGGTGTAATTACCCACCAGTGAAGAACTGAGAAACTAATTGAAAAAAGTGAACTGTGTTCAAACTGCTTTAAGGGAGAAGTGACAGGGCTTTGTTTCCGCTACTGTCTGTTAGTGAGAGATTAAGACTGACTGGCTGCTTGAGCGGCGAATAGCTAACGTTAGTCTTTGTTAGCGCAGCGCTGATTCTGGATCCTCTGAAATTTCAAAATGTAAAATCCCAAGTCATACATAACAGGGAAAATAAGTTTCTCTGACATCAATAAAGCAAATCAGATTAATTAAAATCAAATACGATTTAGCCGCATGTGGTGTTCTTGACTTTGTAATGTCTGCTGCTAATTTCCCGGGTGTGCATGATTATCATATTGCTTACTAGCCTAATGGGGTAATAGAACCTTAGTCAGCCCAGTGCACACACAATTGGAAATACAGTATTACTGGACCGTCTTTTTCATTAAGTTCGTCAGATAGGAATGCTTTTTGTGCAGGACTGTTCGAGCTGTTCTCATTTTCAAAGCTGCCATTTATCAGTAATAGCAGGATTGGTGTATAAAAGAGGACATATAAAAAGTTATAACCTTTTCTACAGTAAATGACGTTTTATGTTCCTACAAGGGAAATTTGTCATTTAGCCTTCTTACTATGTTTAGTCTAGGAGCAGCACAGCATCACCAGCAGAGCAGCGCCACCCGGGGCAGTGGGCGTTAAATGCCTTGCTCAAGGGCGAAACTAAGAATACACCATCCTGGGATCTGAACCAATGACCTTCAGGTTACTGGCTCAGACATGTATTCCAAATATGTGTTTCAGACATGTAGCGTTTAATTTCTAATAGCACTCATTCACTTGATTTTCTGCCCCAGATTGCTACACCTGCTTCCAACTGTTAGAATGAAAGGAGCATGATAGTAGCTGAGGCCAAGCATAACAATATGAACATACACATGAAAATAGCACATTTCCATTAGTCCTACTAAACCGATGCAGTGAATTCACTTGATTCAAAAGCGCACATCATTTTCAAATGAATAAAATGCTGTATATCAAATCAACACAGATTTTATCTGTGAGTGTGCTTTGGAAATAATTGTGATGATGTAATATATCATCATCACTGGTGCAACAAAACTTTGAACTTACACAACGGTAACAGTTCAGAGGACGGAAATACGCACTTAACTAACTTAAAGTAAGTTAATGAACTAAATCAAAACAAAACATGTACAAAGGCAATACTGTAAAGTCAATTTGAGTTTGAAATCATTTCTGAGCTAGCTCTTATATGTAGCTTCTACCACAAGGCTAAATGAACTAAAGTAGTACACGTACTGTTCAGCCTACTGCAGTTTAGCCCCGCCCCTTCACACTAAAGTTATAAGTAGTGTTCCAGCTCTGAGTGTTTTTTTGAAGGACACAATACAGGGGAGCCAATGAGAACAGAGCTCATTTCTGTTTAATTCTAAGGGATAAAGAGAGGTTGAAAAATGATGAAGTAAAAGTGAATTATAACAGTTTTGTTACATTTAATCACACAAAAAAGTAGACAAAATAAGATACAAGAAAAATTGAATAGGAATATTAAATAAAATAAAGTCTAATTTTACACACATTTGCACTTTGATTTATGAAAATATTTAACCAAATTAAAAAAGCTAGTTTTTGTAAAGTCAGTGTTAATCACACATTATCACTCATTTTCCTTCTTTACCATGAGGTATTTCTGAGTGAAGCTAGCTGAGAGTTTTCTCTCAATGATAAGTAGGGCTGGTGGTAGGAAGAGGTGAAGCGTGATATTATTGGCTGATGCAATTTTCCACACCCACTGGTGCACGGTGATGTAATAAAAAATCAGATGTTTTAGAGGCAAGCAAAAGTCAATGCATTTTAATGGAAGATTATAGGAAAACAAAAATTTTGTCTTTTCAATGAAAAGATAAGAATTGTGCTTAATATGATCAAGTACATTAACCCTTAGAGCCCCAAGCCATTCCTAAACATATTTACCTTCATAATTAAGCTCACTCATAGTGCGTCCATGTCTGACTGCAGTATGTGAGTGTTGTGCATCTATAGAATCTAAAGTATATGTGGGGATCATTTACACACATCTGGGATGCAGTATAAAAAAGGGTTCTGCTATTGTTACAATGTTAAGCCTGTAACAATAGAAGAACCCTTTTTGGTGCTATGTAAAACCCTTTTCAAAGAGGTTCTTCTACATCTACAGCTATCTGCAATCTGAAGAACACTTTCACAGTGCAAAGAACCCTTTAATCATGCAAATGGTTCTTTGAGTGTTCATGGATCTATATAGAACCATTTTCTTTACTAAAGAACCATTTTTTAAAAGCATTTCCGTGTTAAAGCATTCTCTTGCATTGTGGGTAATCAGCAAATCTGTCCAGTACACTCTGACCTTACACTCAGTGAGGGGAATTAATACGTTTGTCTCTGATGGATAAGTGCTTACAGCTAAAGTTGGTAAGATCAATATGGATACAGTGTACAGATACACTATATAGGCCATATGTTTCAGTATCTTGACACTCAGGTTCAATATCTGCTATGAATCATGACAATGCTTTCAGAATAGCAATGCAGAACTTTGGACTGTATAGTAATTTGGGTGAGCAGCTTTGGTGCTGCACAGTTGCTGTTGCTATTCATGTGCTTGCTCTTCCGCCTTCAAGCAGCACTTAACTTTAGAGTCACTGCACACTGCAGCATGTGTGACTGAGAGGGAGAATAAGCGAGGAGAAGCCGCAGTACTGTCTGCAGTCTCCACACAGAGAGAAAAGAAATGCTATTTACTTTACATACATGCATTTATACACCTACGCATTTACAATTTACATACATACATTTATACACATACACACAATGTTCCAATTTGAGGTTGAATAGTTCTGCTGGAAATGAGATTTAAGCATAAATGGAGCACCGCTGCCGTAGAGATGGCATTAGCATTGAGACAATGCTGGATCAGCCATCGAGCAAGAAAAGAATTCATCTGATCTGATAAAAAAGCACCAAGTTAGAATTGCAACTCATTTATTTCTAATAGCCCAAATTTACACGCATTTGCTCACAATTGATATTTGAAAGTGCTGCGGCTTTGCCCGCATATCAAATTCATTGTTTCTATATATGTTTTTAATGTATATGCATGTCTGTCTGCCCTGCGATGGACTGGCGACCTGTCCAGGGTGTATCCTGCCTTCCACCCAATGACCACTGGGATAGGCTCCAGCACCCCACCACACAACCCAGAAGGATCAGCGCCTTAGAAAATGTGTGTGTGTGTGTGTGTGTGTGTGTGTGTGTGTGTGTGTGTGTATGTTTCTTTATCTTTGTAATAATACAGTACAGAAATACAGAATGTGTAGACTCCGCCCTTTCGACTCCATCTTACCACAAGATCGTATGTGACTCACTTCTGGAGTTTTGAGGCTATGAATAGGGGTTGAGAAACATATCATGTGCCCCTCACAGTGTGTAACTGGTGGATTTTTGTGGCTGTCTACATTTTGTGTAAAACTGACCAATAAAACCCTTAATACATGGTGTGATGGAGTAACCAAATAACCAATTTGGAATAACCAGCCAGTGCATTTTGCTTCCTTAATGCATTTATGTTGTATATATTTATTTTATGACTGGTGTAAACCAAGTTTGAAGTGTCCTGTGCTGTATGTTAGTTTAGTTTCTGTTGGAATGCCCCATGTAGGTGCGGGAGCGGGGTGGGAAGTGTGGATTGTTTGGCTTTTCTTTAAAAGAAAATGAATAAAAAAAATAATCACAAAAACACTCAGAAGACAAGATTACAGGAAAACAAGAATTTTGTCTTTTGAATGATAAGGATGATCATCACATCATAATATGAACAAAGACGTGAACTAACAAGGTGAAAAAGGCCAACTTTGATTTCAGGTTGATTTTAGTTCATGTTATTGGCTATATATTTCTTATGTATGTGTTTAAACTGTTTGAGTGTACAGAGACATCCTAAATTGGCTTTAATGAAAGCTCGCTTTAAAACTTATAAGTTTTTAAAGCTTTCAGTATTGGTATTGGAAAGAAAAAAGTGGTATAATGACTGTGATATCAAGAGGTATAGTTGGTTTCCCACAAAAGTAAACTGCAATTGTTCAGCAGTTTCTGGGTAGTTACTGAGTATCATCTTCTATGCCTGAATTAGTACTGAGCTGATTGTATAATGAAAGCTATCAGTGCTACACAGTTTTCAAATGATGACTGGACATCAGCAAGTAACATAATGACTTACTTTTTTTGCAGAAACCTGTTGGATCGAGACACGTTCTCCAAATCCGATCCAAGTGAGTATCACAGATTTATCTGTATTTTCAAATACTGAAGAACATACTTAATTTAGTCCATTATCCCACATGCTTGATCCCTAGAACAAATCTCTCAAAGCAAGTCCAACATACTACCACTGTGATATCAAAACATCATAACTCCATTTTTTTAACATTTTTATACAGTACTGTGCAAAATTCAGGGACCACCCTTCATTTAATTTCCAGTTAAAACAGACATTAAGTACAAATTCATTTGTACAATAAGTCCGTGTAAAGCAGTAATAAGTATGTGTACTTAGTTTGTCACACCACAGAAACCACCCAGCCAAATTTAAAAGATTAAAAAATCGCCAAGTATGTAAAATTAACTTTAAAAATCTTGAAAAAAATAGCAGTATTCACCGCTCTGAAACGCTGGGGGCGTGTCTGCTGGAGGCGCTGAAACCACGCCCACTCGCGAGAAAGGCGCCGACTCTCTTCGTTCGCCTGAATGTAACTGCTGCACCATTTAAGGTGGAACGGAAAATTCCAATAGGAAGGTGACTTCAGCTTCGTATCTGCCAGAACGTAAAGTTAACTGCTGCACCCTTTAAGGTAGAATGGGAACATTCCAACAAGAAGCTGGAGAACAGGAAGCCAACTTCAGCTTCGTACTAACGTTAGCTAGCATATCCGTTAGCTCGCTAGGTTCGGCAGCAAAACCGCTCTTGGATTCAAATGAAGCCGCTAGCAGCGCTTCATCTAACAAACACACACAATTCATTCCGTCTAGCAGCTTTATTGGACGGTACAGCCATACATGTTTGAGCCACCAGAACCAAAGCACTCTCATTGTTAGAACAATGACCTACCCAAGAACCAACCCCGTCCGTTCCTCTCAGTCTGAAACAGAATGGTAGTATTTTCCCCATTTATGCAAGTTAGCAACAGGTATTACTAACTAACATGAACTAGCCTAGTATAGTAAGGCTGGGAGAGGTCATCAAGCCATGATTTCAGCCCCCACCCAAAAAATCCTGAACACAAAATGATGAAGAACAGTTTAATGGTCTTACTCCACAATTCAGCACTACATAGTTCGCAGTCTTTTCACAGGATTTCAGCAGTTTTCTAACATGTATGAAGAGTTTCTCTGAAATTACACAGACTTCATAGTGTCAGAAAAAACACAGGAAGTATATATTTAACAGAAAATTACACGAAGCCTCCACAACTAAATATAATATCAGTTATTTTCAGTATTCAGCGTGTCCACTCTTTGCCGTTATTACAGCTTCTATTCTTTTCAGGGGACTCGCTTTCGGTTTTTAAAGAAATCTGCAGGAATAGTTTTTCACACCTCTAAAGTTAAGCCTTAGATGTTGGTTGTATTTTCTCCTTATAAATACCTCCTGAAAAATGAACATCTTGTACTTAATGACAGTTTAATGCCACTGTTTGACGCAGTGTATATTTATATTTATTTTGCATCATTTGAAAACACAAGACACAATGACAAATGTACCTAAAGAAACAGTCCAAATTAACTTGGAATAAAATTTGGGTACATTAATGTACATTTAAAGTTCACCTGAGAAGTTACCATTCTGCACAAGAATCTTCAGAAGTCTGATTATAAATGGGTAAAAACAATCATTTGGAAGCTCAGACTATGTTATGAGGCTCTTTATGTGGTTCTTAATTACATGTTTGATGGTAACCTCAGGGTTCAGTACAGACCCTGTTTTTGGCCTTGCCTTTTCCGTGTACTCCTCTAACTTTGCTGCACTCTTCCACTGCACTTAACAGCTATTCTGTCTACTCGGCTGTTTCGGAGTGTTCCCTCAACACGTGCATTGCATTTGCATAGTAATTTGACGGTGTTTCTTCAACGTCAACAGAATGCCATAATGTATGCAGAGCCCAAGCCTGGCCCTTTGAATACTAATAGCAGCTGTGGGGGCTCCGCTGCTCACTGTGGCTCGGGCTCTTTGCACTTTATCAGAAGCTACTGGCTTGTCCGTGGTCTCTCTCAGATTGAGGGCAATGAAAGATGAGTCACGGTGGCTGCTTCTGAAATGCAAGATCTGCAGATCTGCAATTTCTGAACCTCGCTTCAGTTGACTTTATCAGCTGTGTAGATAATCCAAGATTATGATATCTAGCAAGGCGTAGACGCTTGTACAAGATTTATCCAAGTGTTCAAATGAATCACACGCAGTATTTCAGTGTTTGATCAAGAAGACAAGGAATCCTTGATCCTTGATGTGTTGACACAGTTTCAGATTTGCCAATACTACACTTCCATTAACATGATACAAATGAAACATTTTCTGTTTGTTAAACCTTGAAACTGTAGGCTTTTTATTTAAGTAAACATTAAGATCTGTTGTTTATCATATCACCACTGTTCTAACAAAACTGTATAATATTACTGGAGAAGAAAAAAAAAAGTTATTCATTTTTAGGAGATAATTCTGAGGAGATTAGATATAAGATATTTCACTTGTAGAAGGAAAGAGGAAGTCAAAGGAAAATAAGTGAAAAAAACAGGTGTTTCCAAAACTAGAGTTTAAAAAAATTATTAATAGTTACCGAAAAAATGGGACTCCTAACAGGAGTGTAAAACCTGGTAGACAATCAAACACTGTCACCATCAGATAAACAGCACTTGAAGCTTTCATCTTTGAGAGAGAGGAGAAAGTCAAGCTCAGATCCGAAAACATCCACAGGTGTTTCTGTCCATCCTTCCACTGTGAGAAGACAACTCAACACTATGAGTCTGAATGGAGGTGTAGCTGTCAAGAAGCTCTTGCGGAAAAAAGGGAATAGACACAAAAGAAGAACATTTGCAAATCAAACAAAGAAGCTGCTGGTATTCTCAGAACAATGTACTGACCACACCAGAGTCCAGACCTCAACATCACTGACTACGTTTGGGGTTACTTGGATTGTAAAAAGTAGAAAATATAGCCAACTTCTAAGACTGAGCTATGGAGGTGTGAACAAATATACTTGCAGATTTCTTTAAAAAACTGAAAGCGAGTCTCCTGAAAAGAATAGAAGCTGTAATAAAGGGAGAATGTGGACACATTAAATGTTGAAAGAATTTAAATTATATTTAGCTGTTGATGCTTCTGTGTAATTTGCTGTCAGATATGCTTTCTGTTTTTTCATGATGAAAAATTACTTGTACTTAAAGGCCGTTTTGACAAAAAAAATACATAAATGAAGAGTGGTGCTGCACAGTACTGTATATGAAGTCATTTTACTCTGTTTCTATTTGTCCATTCACCATGAAATGTTAGAACAATGTAAATGATAGCTGCTGTGCTTGAAAGATGTAGAAATACAAAAAAGATTACATGATTTTGATATGACAACAAAGATATGTACAATATGTCAAGGACATTCATCCAGTCCACTGAAATGCTTGAGATGAGGCTCAGATCACTACTGTACAACTGTACAACACAGAATAGCAACAGTAGTAAAAACTTGTGTCACAATTTTTTTGTTTTGGTTCACATCCTTACAGCTTACAAGGAAAACAGCAAAGCATTAAAGAAAAACAATTTGACAGTGAAAAGTAATAGAAGCCCTTCTTTTCTTAGCAAAATGCAAAAAATGCTAAATATTGGTAACCAGGTATAATTGTATGAAAAAATCTGAACACCCTGGACAGATTAAGTGTTTTGTTAATTTTTTAAGTGAAAATAATTTAACAAATCCTCTACAGAGAACACACTTAAATATGGCATTTTTCTTGCAATTTTATTGCACAATTTCAGTTTAACATATTGGAAAAAACATAATAATGCATTAAAATGTGCAGAAGTGTGTTCTCTATAGTGGATGTGGTAACATATTTTCACTTACAAATGCAAGGTGCACCTAAACTTTTGCATCCCACTATATGTGGGCATATTGTGATAATGGAAATTTAATAGAAAGATTTTCATTACAAATTCTCTTATTAACAAACGAATTTGAGTGAAAGTAGAATCTTTGAATATTCACATGAATTTAAGAATTTTTCAATATTTGGTGTGTCCCCTTTTGCTTTAATGACAGCATGCACTCGAGCTGACACTGTCTCCTTGTGCAAGGAGTTTGTGCAAAAGCCTCTGATCAGTAGATTAGATCCACCTGAGAGTCGTCTAAACACGTCTTTTAATGGAAGGAATAAAACTAAAAACATCTGGCCTTTTTATACAAAGTTCTCAACATGGTCAATATTGCAAATTTGCTTCAGTTTAGAATAGACTTAGAAATAGTGCAGAATCTTGAAAATGTCTTCTTCATTTTACCTATTTTTTGTTTATTTGCAAGTTTAAATGGAAAAAAACTGTGGTTTTCACTGTGGTTTCCGACTTTTGGAGCCCACTGTACATATAACAAAACATAAATTTCAAATTAATTTTGAAAAATGAAGATTTTTCTGTATCATCTAGCACTCCAGTTCATCTACTACATAATATGAATGTTATTTATCTGCATGATGATTATGACACTTAAATATGGACATGGTTTGAGGCGGTTTCATAAGAATGACTAACGAACTAAGCAATAAAAAAGAAGTGGGAGACCTTAAAAAGTTGCATTTATATGTTTTACTCTTTACTATATATATATATAGTGTATGTAAAATATATAGAAATATATAAATACAGTTAGTACTATTGTACTGTTTATATAAATTACTACAAAGTATTCAGTAACCTGTATGAAACTAATCTATATGTAGTTATGAGAGGTAGGAATTGAAGTGTGAACACAGGGCCATGCAGTTACAGGGGTTAATCTAGTATTGATCTTTCTGTTTTCTCTCTCTCTCTCTCTCTCTCTCTCTCTTTCTCTCTCTCTCTCTCTCTCTGTCTCGCTCGCAGTGTGTATCCTGTATACTCAGGGAGTGGAGTCGAAGCAGTGGCGAGAGGTGAGTGATTGTATAAAAGAAAAGGTCCAGAATCAGCTGTGCTAACGTTTCCTTCATTCCTGCTAATCAGCTCTGTGTGTCCTCTCGGTCCCTGCTTACTGCCCCTCTCTCAGCCCTAGCCTTCAGGTGCTCATCATTTCCCATTGATTCTGCTGCTGAATATTCATGCAGCGGCCCTCGTGTGGCCCTGCTCCCAAGCAATTGGTGTTAAGATGATTGTACACATTCTCATAGCGCTTAGCATTAAAGTCAATTGCTGTCCATCAGCCAATGCATTTATAATGGGCTTTGGCCTCAACGGTGCTGATTTTTCACGCTGAAGTTGTCGGTTAGATAAATCCCTATCAGATGTGGCAAGTCAGCTTAAAGACCCGCTTCCTCTGGCAGCCATTCTAGTCAATGGCTAAGCAAAAAAGAGACCTTGAGCATGATCTAAATAGGCTAAGAGTCCTCTGCAGCGAAGGTCATGTGGTGTTGTTCTAAACTGGACATGGCAGCCTTCTTAACCCCATACACTTTTTATCCAGTGATTAATTTTAAGATTTCTTATGCAGCGACTACTATAGTTTATTCAGTAACTACTATGAATTATTTAGTCACTACTGGAGATCCAGTATTCGTATCAGGCCAGTACCAGAAGAAAGTGCTGGACCAGACATTGAAGAGGAATAAAGAAACAAATTTGACCAAATTCTGTCATAAATCTAGTGTGAAATATTACAGAATTGCTTGTAACCAAACATAAAGTGAAGTGACAAGCAGGTTTGGACAATAATGTAAATTCAGTCAAACCATTATCATCTGCAGAATTATTGTGATAAATGATAACTTTGTGGTTCATATTCTCTTGCGCCACGTGTGAGCCTTCCTCCATAGTTCATATTTTCCCTAATAGTAATATAGTTACCATATAATTATCATTTGGGCTAGCTTTTAATATTACTTAATAAATTGTATTGATAACTGTATTCTGTAATGATAAATATATTCTATACACACTGAAAATCTACATTACACTGATGTATAAGTTGAAGCAGCCCAGGTCAAGAGACGTTTTATGTTGATTTTTTTAAGTGAAAATAACAGTGAACACATCTTTTACAGAGAACACACTTAAATATGGCATTTTTTGGACACTTCTGCATATGACTTTATAATGTTTCTAACTGGCAAAGTATGTATGTTTGTAATTGATGAGTTATGATTGTTCTGTTTATTGTTATGTATACCCTATAAATAACTACAGTCTTTTTATTACACTTTTGAACTAATCCTGGTATCATTGTATAAAAGGAATGGTTCAGTAAAGGCAATAAAGAAGTGGCACTTGAAAGAGAGCAAAAGAGTGATAATTTGCGTAATTTGTAATAATATCAATTATCAGCTGGACAACAAGTAGCTTACATAGGAGCAACAAATAGATAGCTAAGTATCGTACTGGAATTAAAGTTACTTTATTATATATAGTCTAAATTTGCACATATTTGTAAGTGATGTTTCTGCATTTTTTTTGTGAGGGATTAACTGAAAATAAAAGAACTGGACTTTTTTTTTTAAAAAAAGTGGTATCATTTCATATTTTTTAGCTACTATGAAACTAATATGTAAATATGTAAACGAGAGTGAAGAAGTGGCTCCACTTTCCAGTGAATCCAATTTCCAGTCCTGGATTTTGTAATCCCTGCTAGGTATAGGTATGACACTGGGTGGCCAATCAGTTCAACAGTTCAATGACCCACTAGCGATTAAGAAATCCAGGACCGGAAACTGGATTTGAGGATTCAAGACTTCTGGTTTAAGGCTTAATTAAATCCCACAAAAGCAGATGACAGCATTGTTCAGGCAGTGCTCTCCTCTTCTTTCCCCTTCAGGCTTGTTAGTGTAACATTTTTCACAAAGAGGTCAGTGAACACAATACAAGCAAGTAAAGCAAATCACTTCCTCAGATTAGTCATGTAGACTCTCGCTTGCTGTCTTCACCATGAAAGAGGGTGTTTTGTGATAGCATCGGTCAGACAGCAGAAGCATTCAAGCGGCGTGACCATGATAAAGCTGGGTCTTCCTTCTCAGGCTGAGAGGAGGTTTGACCATGCAGAGGAAGACATTGACGGTGTTCTCTCTGTGGCATTGAAGCTTCTTAATTAACACTTCTCCAGCTCAGAGGCGGTCCTCCATCTTCATCCTCCATTCCTACGATGTCCTCCACTACTCCGACACTAATGATTAAAGCTGTGTAGACCACAGACTGCCTGACAGACCGGATGTTCTCCCATCGTCCTCATCCTCTGTTCTCTCCTCTTCTTGTGTTTTTTTCCACCACTACAAAAGAAATGCTGAGGAGGTAGAGCGTGAATCATTCCACTGTTATTTCCTCCCCTGTTATTTCATATTGTCAGGCCCTGGGAACACCACTGCACGAATGTTTAAGATTATAAATAGTTTCTCCTTCAAGACCAGCAGTGGTCTCCTAGGCTTTTGAAAAGACAGAGATGTTTTCGTTTCCTCTTGCCTGAGATAATATATGTTTTCTGCACAGCTCAAACAGGAAAATCAATTTCCTCATGTTCCAAACGCCCGAGAAATGTCATGTTGTTAACTTGCCAGTCATATCAAAGCCTTGTATTTCATTTTTCTTTTCTTTAGAAAGTCATTTTTACACCTTTTAAAAATATCAGCTGCTTTTTGCATTGCGTGAACTTTTCATGATGATTGGACCAATAGAAATGGTCCAAAATGAATCTCCTTACATTAACAAGCATTAAAATTGGTTATATCGTAGCCAATTTTAATTTTATATTGTTTACATGTATTACATTTTACTCCATTGATGTTTATATAGGTTTATGTACACTGTAAACCCCAATTTGAAATTCATAAGTTCAACTAAATAAAAACAACTTAAAACATACTCAACACTTATACTAAAGTAAACATAGTGGCGTTTATTCATTACTTACTCATCACTGACAGTTTTGTTATTCATCAGTAATACATCAGTTTCATTGTTGGAGGTAGAATGCGTGTAAATGATCGAATTATTTTCAGTAACATCAATAATGTCAACAATGGCAATAAAATTGAAAATAATGATAATATTCATAGCGTTGCACACAGCAAACCTTCTACTAAAGTAGATGTACTTATATTTTATGTGTACACTGATATAACTGCAATTATACGTTCCCCTTTTTGCTTTAGTCTGGCACAGTACATAGCTACTGCCCTATAAAGAATGCAAAATACTAGTACAGTAGAATCCACCACATATACTGCAGTATTATCACTCAAGCAGCCAGTGTTTATGGAAATGATCAGTCACACAATCACATCACTCTACCATCTGAAAAAAGCCTGAATTTTGTTTGTTAAACATTTTAATCTTTTAAATTGTTGTAACTTTAACAATATAAAGATATTTAACTTTATAAAGTTGAAAATATCAAGGAAACATTTGAGCTCTGCTAACTTATGCAGGTTTACAGTATCCCAAAAGTCATTATTTTTACATGACCAGTTTCCAACCTCTCGTTATTCTTTAAAATTAAACGTTCTGTTTTTGTTACTGTTCATTTGTAAGACTGATTTATGTAAATGAGCTTTGATTCAAAATACAGTCCGGCCTGAAACACTTCTTATAACCTCAGTATGAATGGGTGGAGCTAACCTGCTGTAAGCCAAATAGGCAGATAATTGTAAATGCAATGGTTTTTGTGACATCGCAAAAAAGTGAATTAAAAACCAGCTGTTGCAGATTACTTTCCATATATGGATCGTATGTACTGGAGAGTGACTGGTATAATTTGAAACTTTAACAGTGTTTTCATACTACAGCAAATTGTTTAGAAAAATTTGTCTTCCCATGATCTGTTTACATGACACATTTCTGTTTTCTGTTAGAAAATGAACATTCAGGAGATACAAGGTTTTCTTATGTCAGCAATGATTATTCAAATGTCCTTATTTCTTTCAAATTCATATTAGAGCAATGTTACGTTCAAGCACAGGGACGCAGCTAGAATACAGTATCCATGTTTTCTATAAAGAGCTGTATTTCCACAAAAATTTCTCAGCTTGAAGGCTCTGCAAATCTCAAGGCAATGCTTTTTCTCTACAGTTTATGATCTTTCAATTTTATGCTTGATGCCATTTATATTAACAGCAGATGGCTTAAGGTCTACCTTTTTACGCACCTTTTTTTATTAAGTCTGAGTTGTCTTCCAAATGTCAAAACTTCAAACTCAACCTCTTTATCTTAACTCCCTCTCTCTGCTAGGCTTTAATTTCTCCACCAAACTGGATTTGCCCGCCCAGTCACTCTCTGTCTGTACTGTGATGGGTATCTACAATCAGGTTGAGCTCTAGCGGTGGTTCCAGCTGTCATGTGTTCTGCAGAGATATCAGGAAGTAACTTAATATCGCTATGGAGTAGAACAGGGTGGAATTGATTGGTTATGTGCTCCTCTCATGGAGGAAAAAACTTGAGTGGCAGCACTATGCTTTTATATGCCATGACAAAATGTAAAATTACACAATTGCATGGAAAAATCCTTCAAAGGAGAAGACCAACATTAGTTTTGTGGGGCACTGAGTCAAGACTAAAAATGGAGGTCAGCTAGGCTGTGTTTCTGATAGCATGTCACTGTAAGAGTATACTGCCGTACAGTGATGGCTGGTCATAATATTGAATTTGACGGCTAAAAAAACAACACCTACACTGTATGGACAAATGTATTGGGACACCCACACATTACAGCTACAGGAGCTTTTATGACATCCCATTCTAAATCCATAAGTGTTAATATGGAGTTGGTCCCTCCTTTGCAGCTATAACAGCTTCCACTCTTCTGGGAGGCTTTCTACAAATTTTAGAGTGTATCTGTGGGAATCTTTCTCCAAAAAAAATCTTCCTCCAGAAGAACATTTGTGAGGTCAGACACTGATGCTGAATGAAAGGGCCTGGCTCGCAATCTCCATTCTAGTTTATCCTAAAGATGTTCAAT